AACCACAAGAGCAACTTTCTCACCTTCGATCCCAAAATCACGCAAATCCTTAGTCACGATGTGATCAATGGTCACGTGGTCTCCGAACTTCTTCGAAAAGATAGTGGAGCTCCCCCCTCGCTTTCTGGCATGTGGCGCTAGCATTTTGGCCTTTTGGCATACCTTGCAGAAAGGGTTCTTGGGACGATGGGTGAATTTGTGCTCCGGGCTATTGGCCTGCAGCTTGAGCTGGGCTGAACGTTTTTCATCCTTTGGGTCAGCTTCAGCTTCTATTTCGCTGTCAGGCTCCGGCTCGGGGTCATCAGCAGGTCTTTTAAAGATCGTTATGCTGAGGATGCAGGCATCAGAAGGAAGCTTGGCTACCCGATTGTCCAACGTCCTAACATCCACGTCCTTTTCGACCTCCTGCCATTTCTTGACATAAGTCCAAGTACTCCGGATGACATGCTTTGGAAACCTCGTTGCAGGCGTTCTAAAGGTTTTGGGAAAGTGCCCCACGATCATCTGTGGATAGGAAGGATGTGAAACCCAACCTGGTTTGTTCAAGTACTCCGCCTTAATCCCTAACGGAGCGGCCTCTTTCAAAGCTTTCTCAATCCTGGGGTCGAGGCCCGTACCCGAGGACCCGCCTTCCGGCTCGGTTTCTGCTGCATTGGCGTGCCTTAGAAGGCCGCTGAACGGGGAAAACCCGATGTTGCCTGAACGACCGGCGAGTGAGCCGATTTCTCGTCCTTGGCGGGGACAGCGATTGTACCATCCCCAATTACCGGGACTCGCCCGCGCAGCTTGCAGTAAAGTTTCCGGCCTTCGGGCGTGACGAAGTAAGGCGTCTTTCCTGCGCACCAATGGAAATCAAAGCCCTCGTCCATGCATCTTCTTCCGACGGACCAAACTGGCGGGGTTGAATCTAGCACGTAACACTCGAGGACCTTGTTGATTTCAGGAACCTCTAGCTTAACGGCTTCATTACCCTTTACCGGCCCGTTGGCTGTAATCAGTGACACTGGGCGAGAGGAAGGTTCTATGGGTACGTCCGGGAAGTGAGTTCTGCAGTCCGACTTGCTGATAAGGTCCTCTTCACTTCCGGTGTCCGCAAGGAATTCTAAACCGGGGACCAGACCAGCGCATGACGGGCGTGCAAGGCGCTCACACTCTTCGCAGAGGAAGCCTTCCTCCGTACACTCATACCCGCATCCCGCAGGCATGTCGTGGACGCTGCACTCAATCATGGTGGCAAACTGCTTATGCTTTGCCCACACAAGAGCCCTTTTCAGATCCTTAGGATTCGAGCGAGGACACTTTTCAACAGTTGGGTAGACCTCATCATAAACCCTGGGAAGGTAGGCGTGTTTCCGCTGCTTGCCTTCTGGTTCGATGCCAATCATTTCTACAGTGCTGTCGAAGCTCACCTTAGGGAGTTCTTGCATGTAGAAGATCGTCTTACCTACCCATGTGCTGCCGGGTCCTTTGCTTGGGGTCTTTCTCCAGTTGTAGATCTTGCTTCCAACAAATGGAGAGACCGGCAAAACCTGCTCGAGCTTGGCTTGGCTCCTAAGCTTCTTGGGGTTCACAGGACAGGAATTGTCTGGAACATACCAATCTGTTCGGTACTTCTTGTGATGGCGGATGACTTTGTTGCCGGTGAAGTCTACCTCCCAATAGTCCTCATCATGTGACGCTGCCATGGCAAGCTTTGGCGAGATCTTAAGATCCGCTGTATTCTCGAATGCGATGGCGCATGCGGCGGTCTTCGGCGCCTTGTCACTCGACTTCGCCCTTGGACTTCTCCCTCTGCGCGGAGCTGGGGAGTTAGCCCTTGGAGACCCTGGTTTGGGGGCTGCTGGGGCGGCTTCGGACTTTGGAGCGGGAGCTGAAGGCTTCTCAATGTCCTTATGTTGGAACCGACAGTTGTCACCTCTCTTACAGTTGCCTTCTTTCCAGAATTTGCAGGTCGCATTGATTTTCTTCTTGGGCTTGTCACCTTTGGGGGACAATGATCTCTTCTTGTGGAGGAAAGGGCAATTGTTGCCTCTCTTGCAAGTTCCTTTGAGGAAATCGTAGCATACTCCCTTTGGGCTAGGGGTCACTGGGATCTGCCTCTGCTGGGTGATCTTGGCCTTGGGCTCTGTGATCTGCCACGGCCTCCTCTTGAAGAGGGGCTGGAAGTGCGACCAGGAGACGTAGAAGCAGGTGCACCGTACTTATCCCCGTGAGATCTGGCGATGCGATCACGGTTCTTGCGTTTGCGCTCTCTTGTCAAAAGAATTAAGCGACTTCACAAGAAACTTGTACGTGTGCTGCTTAGTGCCTTCTGCTGCCCTGTCGTAAATCTCAAGATCGTACTTAAGCCTCTTGGACTGCCTGAGTTCACGAAGGAAGATATCTCTCAGGGTTGTTTCGTCCGGTGTGTGGCTGAGCCCTGACATGACAGATTCCCAGTTGCTAATAAACACCGAAAGGTCATCGTTGATGAGCCTTACTTTTAGCAGATCCTCCACAGAGTAAAGTGAGCCCACCTCCTCGTTCGTCTTGAAGTACTGATCGAAGAGGTAGAGCACCTGTCGTCCTCGTACCGCCCTGAACTTTGCCGCTTCTGTCTCCTTAAAAATGAGGATTTCTCGGGAAAGCTCTCCCCTAGCGACTTTGGTGAGAGCAGCAAGGAGTTTCGTGTCGAGGGTGAGGAATTTCTCGGGGTCCCGAAGGGATTCCTGCGATGCGTCTTTGTCGTAGGCCTTCATCACCCATTTAAACGCCTCATCAGCGGAGTCTGATGCAGCCCTGACAGCCTCCCTTGCCGCCGTTTTCCACGAACGATACGACTCTGGACTTGGGAACTCCGGAAGGTTTATGGACTCTGCTTCCTTCACTTTGGGTTTGCCAGCATCATCTTTGTTCTCACCCCTCAAGCTTCTTAGGCTTTGGAGAATTGCCATTTGGGTCTCGAGAAGACCTGTGTTGAAAACCTCTGTACCTAGCGCGCCGGAATCGGCCGCTGGAGGGGCCGCAGTTCCTAGCGGTGGAGCCTGGGGAGGTCCCGCTTTGGGGTTTGAAGATGCTGTTGCAGACGGAATGGGCTGAGCATTCAAACCTCCTGGATTCATTGACTCGAACAAACTTCTAGCACCTTGGGGGGTAACATGTGGCATTGAGAACATGGGCGCTTGCGGAGCTTTCGGGAAGACAGAGGGACCTGCAGGGGTACTCGGAGCAGGCATTGGCTGACCCTTAGGGGTAGCTGGATTGACCTGATCCAAGACCTTTTCCAATGCGGTCTCGGCAGAATCCAATCTGTCCTGTAGCTCTTCGTTCTGTTCCCTGAACTGATTAAGGGACGCCTCATACTCTTCTTTCTGCCTGTTCTTGAACAACTCAAAGTGAGCTTGGAATTGTTCAACCATGACTTCCTGAGAATTTTCGATGTGCTGTCTAGCCTGTTCTTCGAGGTTCTGTGCAAAGCGAGATTCCATCAGCTGTTGATCCAATGCGTCTGTGATTCGGCTTTGTTGAAGTTCCGCAAGTTCCTCGCGCAACCTTTGGTCCTCGTCATAGGCATGCGCTTGACTCAAGGTCATTTCAGACAACAGGAGCTTTTCTCTGTTGGCGGCCCTGTACTCACTGGAGACCAAAGCTGCTTGCAGTTCCGATACCACTTCAAGGTGATTACGTTCTGCTCTGTGCTCCATGTCGGCTGTTTGGATTGCGGATGCTTCTTGATAGGTCAGCATGTGTTGCCTGTGTCTAGCTTCTGCCTGAGCTTCCAGTTCTCCAACTTCCAGTCTGATTTGGTTTACGTGCACTTCGACACTATACTGAGGTGCGAAGACGTTGAACTGCTGCACTGAGGCTGGTGCTGGGAGAACTAAGCCGGGAACGCCTGTTCCTGCCTGGCCACCCGTGACCGGGGGCTGGGAAGGACCGACAGCGCTTGTAACTATATCCATTTCTGCTGGGATAAGTTCCGGTTCGCTCATGCACTGATTGATTGTATTGTAACCAACCAGTGTGACCAGGCCGTAGGCTATACGGCTGATAACCTATAGTTGTGGGAAACCATTGCACACACGCACTGTTGTATACCCGTCCAAGTGTTGAGGGAGAACGCAGTTATACCATTGGGCATCTACACTTTTTACCCTCAGAGCACTTGTGCCACAATGTCACACACACACACACAACATGCTACTTCACACGTGCACAAATTACACATCCACTGACCAATGCAAAGGAGCATGTGCAGCTGCTTCTTGCTTCTCGCGTCACTGTTGTAACTTGAAGCATGGCAGGCACAACGGAATCGAAGGCGATGGTGTTAAGCCCTTTATGTCTCCCACTTTGTTTCGGAAGGCCTTGCTGACATATCGCTCTGCTGCCATATCGAGTAAAACACCTGTTGGTTTCTCTTGTGCACCTGCCGTTGTGTGCTGCCTGCTCTGAAGGATCACGATATGGCACACCATTGTCGCACTATCTTTTCCCCAACTGGGTTCCGGAGCGGGTTCCGGAGCAGGTTTCGGAGCGGGTTCTGGAGCGGGTTCCGGAGCATGTTTTGGAGAGGGTTCCGGAGCGGGTCCGCAGCGGGTTCCGGAGCGAGTTCCGGAGCGGGCTCGGGAGTGCGGACCGGAGCGCGGGTTCCGGCGGAGCAGGTTCCGGAGCGGGTTCCGGAGCAGGTTCCGGAGAGGGTTCCCAGTGTGAACCCTGTGCAGGATCAGCTGTTGGACATGTACATCTCGATTGCTCTCTGGCCCAAGGACCAGAGGCGGGAGGGCAGTGGCGTTAGGTGACGCATGGTCGCTTGAGCGCTGGCAAAAGGGCGAGGCCGCCTTTGTACTGCGTGTGGACACGTCTTCAGAGTTTTGACACTGCGCCGGAGCAGGCAACGGGAAGCGGCGATGATCGGAGCGCCCTGCCGTGGGCAGCTATTCCTCGCTACAGTCCTGGAGTTACAGACACGACGGAGTATGGCAAGAAACTGAAATTCTTAGCTGAAGTTTGGCCCAAGGATGCCCAAGGAGCACTTGAGCTCTTTGGCTCCTCGTGTTGCCTTGCTCTGCGAGGGTTCGGCTTTCAAGAAGATTGCCCGCCTAGACGCGGCCAAGCTGAAAGTTTCAGATACCTCGGGTGTTGAACTGATTGTGAAGACCTTGGGCGGGGCGGGGGGTCAAACAGTCTTGGAGGAGAAGTATGAGCAGTTCGAGAAGGCTATATTTGGGACTGTACAACGCAGTGACGAGACCCATGACTCGTACCTGGCTCGTCACGACATCCACTTTGAGGAGCTTCTGGCTCAGAGCATCACGTTTGAGGAGCTCCGTTCGTATGTCTTGCTTCGCCAATCGCAGCTTAGCAGCGATGACAAGAAGCGTATCGTGGTTGAGCACAGCGGAAAGCTGACCTACGACAAAGTGAAGGCCTCAATTCGACTACTGGGATCACGATTCTTTGGGGAACTTCAAAGACAGAGAGCGAACCAACGGACCAAGGTGTATGATGCTAACACTTTGGAGGAGTGTATTCCTGAAGAATCAGAGAGAGCCTATCAGGCCGCCTCGGTCCCAGGACCGACGGGAGGCGACGATGCCGACAACGAGCTGGAGCCGAAGTTCTTGGAGGCCATGTTGGCCATCGAGGACCAGGACGCGTTGCAGGTTCAGACTTTTGAGGAGGAATTGGAAGGCTATTTCCAGGAAACAGCAGACCTGCAAGAGGCCTTGGTGAGCTACTTGGAGGCCAGGACTCGCTTGCTGGCTAAGAAAAAGTGAAGAGGCTTTTGGCCAGCGAGCAGCTCCGGTAAAGGCGGGAAGACCGGCCGTGGCTTCAACAAGGGCAAGGGCCGCGGCAAAAGCGGCCGAGACCAGCTCCTGGCGCACATAGCGCGCAGCGTGTGCCGCGCTTGCGGCGAAAAGGGCCATTGGAAAGCAGAGTGTCCCAAGTATGGACGCCCGGGATCCATGAGCGGCGGCAAGGGTGAAGCGATCACCACGGTTGCCGAAGTGGTTCAGGAGACCTATGGCCCACCTTCTTCCTCGACATCGGGACATCAAGCTCTGCTCACCGAAGTGCCTGAGGACGCCTACAACTTGCAAGAGGCCCACTTCGTAATCAACCAAAGCCCTAAGCCTGGTGCTCTTAGCAACCTTAGTCGGTTAGTTCAGAATCTGAAAGCCCGTGAGTAATTACTTTAGGAAACCGCTACGTGCTAGGCTTCCGAGCGTTGGGGAGGACTTATGGACTGAGCCCGAGACCCCTGTGAGAACGCTAAAGCCTCTGAGATGGAAGGTTGCACCAAGCTTTTCCCAAATCAATCAATCTGAGAAACAAGTGTTGATAGCTAATGAGCCCGTTCAAGCCATTTTGGATACCGGGGCTAGCTGTTGTGTTATGGGAAAGCATTTAGTGCCTGCCTTCCTTCGCCAGCTGAGTGATGCCACCCGACAACAGGTGCGAGTTACCCGCAGCTCGGTTCGCTTCAGATTTGGAAATAACCAAACATTGGTTAGCGAGCAGGGAATACTCTTGCCGTTCCGCACAGGGCAATCCACTCAGATTTTGTGGCTAGGGATAGAAGTTGTTCCAGGTAGCACGCCACTACTGTTCAGCAAGCGTGCTATTAAGCAGCTGGGGGGTATCATAGATACCACTCGAGATTCATGCTATCTGGAACGCCTGAAGAGACGCCTGTCGCTGAGCACCGGACCAACAGGTCTGTATCTGATTGACCTGGCACAGCTCTGTGCCGATCAGGAACAACAATGCCAGGTTGCAAATGAAGAGTCAACCGCTCAGCAGTTGTGCGCCAGCCATATATGCATGCATCGACAGCCGTGGAAGAGTGTGTCCCAACTCCACCCTGTATAGCCTGGAGTTCTAATATAGCTTCCCCCGAGGTTGAGAATCCAGTTGTTTTAGGATCCCGTGAAGAATCGGGTTTAGTTAATGATACACCGCAGATGCCAAAGGGTAAACGGGTAAACCTGTGAGCCCAAACCACTCTGCACCCCTGCCGTGTGGCAAAACAGCAGCCACGGCGACTCTCAAAGTCTCTTGTGCATCCAACGCCTCACTCCGATCCAATCTCCTTCCGAGTGACGGTCATGTCGCAAGCTCCCGACAGCCTAGCCTCGAGGTTCGCTCGGCTATCGGACCCCACGCTGGCATACAGCATGGATCAGCTGTCCGCCATGTCAGTCGAACAGCTAGGCGAGTTCGTGATCGATTTTGGCAAGGCCATGCGCGGCCGCAAGTACATGGAAGTGATCGAAAAGGAGAAGGATTGGGTGACATGGTTCATCACCCACATGTCAACCAGCGAAAAGAGGTGCCACCGCATCTTGTTTGTCTTCATAGAGAAGTACACTGCTCAGGCAGAGAGAACGCGGAAGATCTCGTTGGAAATCCAGCGGAGGCCGAGCCACCGAGATCAACCACGGGTGACGCGCCCAAAATCCAAGAGCGCTCCTCGCCCAACCGCGCGTCGACTGCTGTGGCGAGCACCGATCACTGGGCACTCGTCGAGGACAACAGCGAACCGGCTCTCGACAACCAGGTGACGGCAATGGCCACTCGCCTCACCCACCTCGAGCATGTGATGGAGCAGGTGCTGGTAGCTCTCCAGCAGATCACGCCTCCGCAGGCAGCTCCGTGATGGAGTCGCAGGTGTGCCATGCAAGATGCGGATTCCAAGCCTAGGTTCACTATAGCCCTCGGTGAAATAGAGAACCAGGCACGATCCCTAGTTCACGAAGAAGCTAGCACCTTGCGGATTAAGCATTTTCTTCAGAAGATTCCTTGGGCTGGTCTTCAACAGCAAATCTCGAGCCGAACGAGTAATGACCATGTGCGACCTCGGGACTCTTTAAGAGACCCTGCGTACCTAATGTTAGGCATGTATATGCACGGAGGGATAGTCGGTGTGACCAAGGTAGCCCTGAAGTATCCTTGGTTAAAACGGATCCTAACCCGAATGCTTCGACTAACCAATCCCGATCACCACTGTACCACTGTTGGTGTTTCCTGCAATGTTCAAACCGGTCCACATAGAGACAGTTATAACGTTATAGGAGCTTCCAATATGATCGTGCCAATCCAGGCGCCCACGGTTGGAGGGGAAGTTTGGACGGCTCAGGGGATGAATGGAGATCAATCGACATGCAGGTCCTAAAATGAGTTGTAACGGGCAAATGGTGTGTGGAGAAGTGCTACCTCTCACTAAAGGGGCAATCTATCTGAATCCGCATGCCTGGCACGCCACCCAGCCCTGGACCGGTGGCCATTGGCTTTTCTCTGAAGCCCCGACACAAGCTTAAGTCTCCACAGGTCCGTTGGCTCAAACGACACGGGTTCTCGTTGCTTCGGAGGTTCCAGAGAGACACCGCGAGCTTTCCCCTCAACAAGACCCGAGAGGGCCAAGTGGCTGAGGAAACCGATGCGCCAATTTCTCAATCACCCCTGCTCCGGGCAGCCGAATGCTGCCGCTTGTGCCTGCCAAGAAGCTGTCCGCAGGGCTGAGGCTCTTCACCATCAGTCCCAGCAATTGCTAAGACTACCTACCGAATCAGAGCTTGATCTGTTGGAAATCACCGGGCGTGCCGATAGTCGTCTTTCGGTTAAGGTAAGGGAACTAGGTGGTAAGGCTAGGCGGTTTACTAGCGAGGATGGTGATCTGCAGACAGAAGAAGGTCAGCAAAGGTTGTGGACAATGGTGCAACAGACTCAGCCGCGACACATCTGGGTGACACCAGATGCCCGGTGCTGGAGCGCCTGGTCCGCTCTCAATGCTGCTCAGAGCACTCAAAAACACGACAAGCATGTCAAGCAGCGCGAGGCAGACCAGGCCCTTCTTTGCGCAGCTCTGCCATTGGCAAAAGCAACACCGTCGGGACTTCCATCTTGAGTTATCCGGTCTTTTCCCAATGTCGTCTGTAAAAGCCTTTCCAGACCTCAAGAGCAATACTTATGTGTCCTCAGTAGACATGTGCGCCTTTGGTTTACAGACCCCGACGGGAAGCCCATTCGTAAGCGAACCTTGGTTTGTAGCACCTCCCAAGACCTGACAAAGAGTCTAGTGTCCCAACAATGCAACCAACAACATCGTCACCAAACCATGGCTGGAAGACTCCTGAAGGGTCTACCGATGTCGCAGTTTGCCGGATCGTTCTGCGAAGGATTCGCAAGCCATGTTGCGGGACACATTGTGTCCAGCAACATAGATGCTGCCATGGCTGCCAATGCCGATCCCCCTCTGACCCGTAAGCGATTTAAGAGTTCTGTTGGGGACCCCCTTAGGTTAGAGAAACCTGTGACCCTAAAGCGAGAAGCTGCCGAACCGGCTGCTGGCAGCCAACGCAGTCATCCAATCCGTCGGCTCACCGAGCCATTGCAAGCAATGTCTGAGTTGCACCGGGATGTGTGGGAGCCTGTCTTTGAGCTTGCCCGACGAAGCTCTGGACAAGCATCCACTCTTGCGCCTCCGCAGAGCGAGCTAGCCAAGGAAGTTCAACAAGCTCTAGGGTCTAGAGGGATAGGCGTACTTCAGGTTTTCTCGGAACGAAACCTTCGGAACCTGCAACTTCCCTTGGGGGCTCTTCTTGCTACAGTAGCTCCATTACGCGTGAGCCTCGGCTCCAGAGTAGCTAGCAAGCAACTCCTCTGCTTAGGCAACGAGGATCGCACTGTTATGGGGTCAGACCGTAAGAAGCTTAGGATCGGGGTGCATGAAATCTTGATAACTGTGTTTGGTAGACGCAAAGCTGAGGCTGCCGAGCAGGAACCTCCTACGGGTAGCATTGGTCAGAATGAGCCTGAGGTTTCAGCAGCCCCGCCCGACCTTGAGGGATGGGCCCCACCACCGGTGCCTTTGCATGGTCCTGCCTCTGGATGCTGATCAGAAAGCGCAGCTAGTTCGAATCCACAATAACTTAGGACATCCCGTGCCAACGACTCTAGCCAAACACACTTGAAAGCAGCCGGAGAAGCCCAAGCCCTTGTAGATGCCGCCTTAGATTTCCAATGTGATGCTTGCTTAGAGTCTACTGAACCTCGACACTAGAGACCCGGTAAGTTACCCGAACCCCTTGAGTTCAATGACTTGATTGGGATCGATGGTTTCTTCTTCAAAGGGAGATCAGGGTATAGGGCATACGTCATCCATGCCATAGACGAAGCAAGCTGCTTTCACCTTGGAAGGAGGGCCATCTCAAGAGAAACCAAGCACGCCACCACGACGTTGGCAGAGTTTTGGCTCTCATGGGCTGGAAATCCCCGTAAGGTTTATGTTGATCCCGCTGGAGAATTCCGTTCAGAAGAGATTCTAGAGTATTTTCAGGGACTCAATGTCAAGACATTCCTTTCAGCATCCGCTTGGCAAAGGGGCCGGGTTGAGAGGCACGGGGATGTAGTTAAGGACATGTTGGCTAGGTTAGATACCCAGAGTCCACTTGCCAACGATGCACTTTTCGATCAAGCCTTGTTGCTTGCCTTCCAGGCAAATTATGCCCTTATGCGCCATAGAGGGTATGCCCCAGAGCAGATAGTTTTGGGTAAATCCTTGCGAGTCCCCGGTAGTTTAACCTCGGATGAAGACTTGACCTCCCATGCGCTTGTAGAGGGATCCGACCTGGAAGCCGAGCTCCATCGGCAGAGACTTGATGTCCGCTGTCGTGCCCGCCAGGTTTTCTGGGAAGCTGATAATAGTCAGACCATCCGTAGAGCACTCCTTCGTCGAAATAATCCTGTACGGGGTCCTTATAAGCCTGGAAATTGGGTGTTATATTATTGGATGCGAAAAGGGTCCCCTAATCGCTTAGCTGCCGGCCGGTGGCACGGCCCGGCTCGTGTGATTTCGCAGGAGGGCCAATCAATCACGTGGATTTCGCACGGTTCGATCATCTTACGGTGTGCCCCAGAGAACCTTCGACCTGCCAGTTTGCGTGAATGGCAGCAGCTGAGCACAGCCGATTTCTCCGATCCTCATAAGAATGCTGGAGGAGCAAGCTCATTTGTAGACCTGACCGGGAATGAAGCGAGTGCTCCTGTTACCACTTTGCCTGCTCCTGCAAGCTCCAGCGGAGACCTTCTGGTTCTCATGCCCACTTCCGTTTCCAATGTTTCGAATCCAGCAGCACCCCCAACTCCTGATGATGACCTTGCTCAGCCTGAACAAGAGCTGACTCCACAG